AAGTTTTGCACGAATACACTTCTGCTCAAAATTTCGTTCCTATGACACTTAGTTGGATATGATGAAATAGTATAGAAAAATGCAGTTTCATTTTCTCTATCTTTCTGTAAAAAAAGAATTTCGTCGTCACCAATTAATAAGGAAATAAGATAGGGACGACATTACTTTTGGATACCCCTAAGTACTTTTGAAGAACAAAAGTGTTGTTCTTCAGATTGGCCGTACCCCTCGAACGGCTTTTTTCATCTGCATGCGATATAGAATAAATTGTCTGGAACTAATGAATTATCGGAGACAAATTGTCTAAGGCAAAATGTCCAGAAACGAATTGTCCGAGCCAAAGTGTTCGTAAGACGAAATGTCGTGGAACGATTTGTCAAAGACGAATTGTCTTGAATGAAATGACGTAGTACCAAGCGGTAGACTATGTTTATTTTCATCTTTTATGCCGACCAAAACGTGTTTTAGATAAATGATAATGATTTTGTGGTTTCCAATTTTCCAAATAAGACAGAAATGCTAGTAATTTCAAGTGATTGGGATCAGTCCTTCTTTCAAGATGTAACGGTGGCAATGCCAGATCATCACTCTCGGAGATTATTGGTCTTGGTATATCTCTAATTTCCAGGGAATCTTCTTCTTCACTTTCCCATCGTGCATATGATTGTGTAGTAGGTTTTCGTTTTACACGATTCAAATCGTTTTGTAAAGCATTTTTTAATAAAGGATGACGATGATAACGATTAACAGCTCGAGGAACTAAAAGAAATAATAGATAATGTAAAACATGTATCATGTATGCCGTTTATAGTTGATAATGCTAAGGTGAACAGTGAAGAAAAATAACATAACTACATAATATGAAATTAGTATAACTTACGCTGTTGGAAAGAATTATCTTTCCATGTTAAACTCTTCGTTGTTGTTAATGATAAAGTAATTAATGTAAGAAATAGTGGAACTAGATAATAATAATAGTTCATCGAAATGTCAATATTTATTCAATCACAAGAAACTAAAAGAGAAAAAGACAACATGAAATCTAATACAGTTCAAGGTTAAAAAAAATTCAATTTCTGTCTAGATATTGACTGATGATAAAAATGCTTGAAAATCATGAGAGGAATAAAATATAAAGTTTGTGTGAATATAACTGCCTACTAACTTTTAGTCACAAATTCTTCTGATATAAATGGTAATAAATAATATTACCAAGAATTAAACTGTTTAACACGAAAAAGTTTATCAGAAAAAATAAATGTTAGTAGGAGTCTTTTATCTGTGAATCAAGCATGAAAACTTAATATTTTTTGCCAAATTTATGGTTTTTATTGCTATTTACTGTTGTTGCGACAGAACCACGTGTAGTGACAATATTATTTTACGTCATCAATCATCTACCTAGATACATAGACACAATCAATAAATACTTAAGAGATATCATCTATTTTTACATCATGCTATATTTGTAAAACAGAAAATTAGAAATGCTGACTCATGTTTTGATGTAATGGAAGAAAAAAGAGCGTCCACTTTATGAATTGCATAATAACGTCTAATAGAGATGTTGTCTTTTGGTCTGAAAAATATTTACGTGTACATCATGATGATTAACATTTTTTTTGGAACAGAAGCATATGTTTTTAGTCTGAATCTGCAAAAAAACAAATTTTTCTTTCGCCACCGAATATATTGCAGTTAGTATCTTATAGATTTTAAAAAGATGGGATCATAATCCAAAAGCGAAACAGTTGACATCAGAACGTCAAGAATCAATTATTATGAACAGATTTAATTATAAAGGTTCTACTATTAACAAAAAACAAATTTTAGTACAAAATTTAATTTTGCATAACCACAATGAATATCAAATATAATACATTGAGTTAGTTGTTGTCACGACGTCCTAGTTTTGAGTTTGAGATGTTACAATTTGAAAGAAATCAGTATCTGAAGAACGTGTATATCACAGTGGGAAACAACGTGGACATTTGGGGAAAAAACGAAAGTGAGATTTTTCAAGATTTAAATATCAGCTTATATATTTCGCCAGACGCTCGATCTTTTTGACATTGGAACATTTTTTCTAAATACCATCATAAATGAGAAATCGCTAAGCAAATTTCTGTCGAAAAATAAAGTGATGAAGACAGCAAATTTATTTTTATCAGAACACAACACGATATCCAGAAATAAAATACACGGTTTAAAACTAGACCTTTCAGTCTATTCACGCGTAAAAATTTTTTTTTGTAGGACGCATTGAAACGGAAAAAATCGATTTTCTGTTTTTGCTAAGTGTTTTCCAACGAACACCCCGTAGTATAGTGCGTTTTTCCAAATTTCCCGAACTCCAAACTCGATCGAAACTGTCAGAAAATATGCTTCTCGGTACGTTGCATCTATACAGTTATCATAAAGATGCATAAATGTTACTGGACGGAGTTATAGGTTTTCCAAAAAACCGAGTTTTTTTTGAAGGTTTCTCCGTTTTTCTCTGTTCTAAAGCAGTTTTTCTCAAAGGAAGCAACATATTCAAAATCAGTGCCAAAAACTGCATCGAAAGATGTGTGTTTGAGATATTTCTGAATAAAAAATGTTTCGATTTAGTGTAATGTGACGGTTTCAGCGTATTGACATAGCAATTTTGACTTGGCACATGGATCTGTGCTAGAAAAGCAATGCGAAAGTCTCTAAGCACTGTTTTTATAGGATTTCGTATACGCTCTTTTCAATGACGCAATCGTCAAGCTTTCAAAGTAGATCTGTCCGGTTTTCCGGAGATCTGATCTCTGAAAAACCAGTTCGAACATACTTCTGAAGCTTGAAGACTGCGCCATTGAAAAGAGCGTATACGAAAACCTATAAAAACAGTGCTTAGAGACTTTGATACCGTTTTTCTAGCACATATCCATGCGTCTAGCCAAAATTCTCCACTATGTAGATAAGTATTGTTAACCCTTTCGGGACGGGTGGTACACCGTATATACCATAGTCTTTCGTTCTGTTGTGACGTGTCGAAGCATATGTTTTCTTGCCTTTTTCCATAGAACATACATATTTTTCAGTTTTTACTCTTTCCTCTTCTTATGGTATCTTCTAGTAAATTCATTCCTTTTCACACTTTTATATATTCAGCGGTTGAAATGAATGAGAGATACATTAGAAGAATCGCCGAAATCACAACCTAGTTCATTTCGTCACAAGTCGTCCTTTCGCAGAAAAACCACTTCGACTGACGTCTCGTCATTTTCCAGCACTAACTGGCGGAGCAAAACGAAGGTGTATTGTATGCAGGTCGACTGTCAAGTGACCAAACAAACAATCTCGTACCCGATACGAATGTTCAGACTGCAATGTAGGCTTGTGCATCCCGAATTGTTTTGCGACTATCACACTCTAAAGTCATATTAATAAACTGGACTGAAAACTAGAATCAATTGATTCTTAAAAACTAATTTTTGTACCTTTTTTCAAAAAGAACTTCCCCGTCCTGAAAGGGTTAAGGCCCCCCCCTCAGAAATGGTGATTTTCGGTCAAAAATTCGGTTTTGAGATACGCATATGGAAAGATAGGCTGAAGTGTCTACTTCCAGAATCTGTATTGCTTTTGGTTATAAAACTGGCTTTTCGGGGATTCTGAGCAAATTTTTTTCAGAGCCTCGAAAAAACGGATCTTCAAATAATGGTTTTTTCCTGGATACTTATGCACTTAAAATTTTTCTGAACATACAGCTTTGTAGATCAAACGTTCCTGATCAAAGTAAGACCTCGCACAACTCTGTATGACCTTGCATTAAAACGTTACAGGCATTTTCCTAGAAGTTCTAAAATCGAGTATTTCATACTGCGTTGAATACAGCGTTTTCACTATATAAGAGTTACACCCGAAGGGCGTCCCAAGATTTTTAATAGCGGTTTATCGTAGAGAGTTCATTCTTTTTTTGTTTAAAAGAGGAAAAGAAACTACATCGACTGACCGGCGCCGATTTTTGAATTAGGTCTTAGCTTTTTGTCGAACGGAGAACTTTTAGAAAACCTGGAAGGCTTTTTCGGGTTTTGGAGGTTGTTGGTCGCCTGGAAAATCAATAAAGGCTGAATTAAAAAATCGGCGCCGGTCAGTCCATGTGTCTAGTTTGAGATAAAACAAATCGGAACTCTCCAGCTTGAAGCATATTAAAAAATCTTCGGACGCCGTTCAGGGTCCTTTTTGGACCTTGATCTCTGGAAAACTCCTAAATCGTAAGACTTGGAGACAAAAAAAATTTTTCATTCCCGTAACTCATTGTGCCGAACATTTATGGAAAGTTTCGTCAAGATCGGATGCACGGTGTCGGAGATACTTTCTGCGGGGGGGGGCTTAAGCGATTTGGGATGGAGAGTAATATATCTATATATCTATATTGAGAAGCTTGTGTGGACGATAAGTGTTGAAAAAACTATTCAGAGTCGATAGAATAGTTCGAAACTGTTGATAAAATAAACTTTTTTGTAATTAGTAATAAAATAATGAATCTTCTTACCTTAGTTAGGATATTTCTGAAATGGTATTGAAACATACTTGAGTATATAACGAAATAGCGTCTGTTCTAATCAGATCGTTTAAGACTGGGGGAAAGGAATCGTGTGGGGTTTTTCTATTATTTACATATTTACTTATATGAATATCTACATCATCATTACAACACGTTTGGCGTGCAAACATGACTAATGTTCTCTTTTCGTCAGATGAGACACTCCCTCTCACAACTCGATTGGTCAAAGAATAAACAATTCATTTCTGTGCGAAGGCGATAGTAAGTTTTTCTAGGATTTTTATAACAAACTAAAACTTTCCAATAAAAAGAGATTTATGGTTACGCAATGATAAAGGGAATACGTATTCGGTACAGTATCATCCATACGAAATAAAAATATTTTAATTATTAATCACTACAACGACGAACAGAGTAATACTCTACCCTTTGCAGCAACCCTTGTCTTCATTAAGTTTATAATGTATAGCCTACTTGTACCACAATCTAACTTCAGTTACTACTGCATGATCTGTTCGATTATAGTAATTGATCTAGATTTCGACGTAAGCAGGGTCCGACTTTTATTTATCTCGATCTATACTGATATGACTGACATTCTTATGAATTCGCCGACTCCTATGTCAACATTCTTTCTCCTATTTTATAACATTTTCTATCTCATCTTTGTTTATTTTGGTACAACCCTCATAAATACGACATACTTTTGTTATGTTTCATTATGCAAAAGAATGCGAAGGTAGTCTATGGAATTTCTCACACAGAGCATCATAAAATTGAGAGACTGGTTGAGTTTTGAGTGTTTTCTAAATATCTTCGAAGAAAGAATTTTTATATTCTTTAGTTTTTATTCGGTCAATAAATGGTATCACTCACTATTTGACTTAATATATATCTCACATTATGTTTTTAAAAGAAGACATGAGTGAAGTGAATGAAAGTACTTGAAAAACGATGAATTTATAGCATGTCATACGTGATTTTTTCGAAATTTCTAATTTTTCTCCTGTAGCCAGCCATACCTACATCATTGATGTATACGAAGATAATCTATTTCAACTTATTATTTATCCAAAATCAACTATATAGACTACTGCAAGGTTAAGACTACTTGGACTACTGTCTGAAGGTTAGGAAAAATAACTATCGTTTTATTTTATGAACGCTACTGTTACACAAAGAATACTAATTTTTATGTTCACTATATAATACTCATGTTCTTATGTATTCTCACCTTTTAGAAATAAGCATCACCACCATACAGGGGCTCGGGGTTAGTCAAGGGGGAAAAAACATACTTCTGCACTTCTCGGTACTTCTCCGTACTTCTTGATACTTCTTCGTACTTCTTCGTACTTCTGAAGTACGAAGTACGAACCAGTTCGTACTTCGTACTTCAGAAGTACGGAGAAGTACAAAAAAGTACGAAGAAGTACGAAGAAGTATCAAGAAGTACGGAGAAGTACCAAGAAGTACAGAAGTATGCTTTTTCCCCCTTGGGGTTAGTTCTACTGCGATTAAAGAGGGGTGAGAGAATATTCTGTTTTGGAATATTGTTGAAATCTCCAAAATTTTTGTCTAGAGCTAGTTATCTTTAGGTTCTATGCTTTTCGAAACTAATAAGAATTATCTAGCACACAATATCCGTTTCTGGAAATTTTCATCCTTTCAGCTTTCCATAATTTTTACTTTTCATCCCTACAGCTTCAGACTCCGTCACATGTGCCTGAAAACATATGGTTAGAGAGTTTTTAGTTAGCCCACTACCACGTTCACAGAAAATATTGTATAATTCTATTCACACTCATCTCCTTCCCCTTTCCTCGCCTCCTTAAGTGTTCTTAAAAATAAAGGTGAATCAAACTGATAAAAAACCAAAAACATTTTGTGAATGTGAAGCATATGACATATAATGCAATCAAACTGCCTGTGAACATGCACAATTTGCAACTTTTCAACTGTTCCATCCTTCAACTTTCCATCCAACTTTTCACCCTCACCCTCAAACTACTATACTCTTGAAGACATAAATTTCTCCCTCATTCTCACGAAAAATCTACAATATGAGAAAACTAAAATGTCTGGATATTCTCGAAAATAAAATAGGTCACAATATCTCAGAACGACAAAAAGCTTTATTTTAGCCTTTCACACAATACACTATCCTTTAGCTTTTAGACATCTTTGCAGACGATTAAACGCTGATATACGAAGATATCGAACTTGCATAGATGTATACTAAGTGAGTATTCAGTATATGTTTGAATTACAAGGTGGTCTGATGGTTTAAATAATGGTGACCTACTTCGTTTATCCATTACATATTATTCAAGAAATAAGCAAATTTATTCTACTTGGTAATAGATAATAGTCCATATAGTCGATTTTGGATAAATAATAAGTTGAAATAGATTATCCTCGTATACATCAATGATGTAGGCGTGGTTGACTATAGGAGAAAAATTAGAAGTTTAGAAAAAATCACCCATGATGTGCTATGAATGAGGTATTTTTCATTGAATGGATAAAAAGTTTTAGTCATGCGATGTACTATAGTGAAAATTGGTTCCGTGATTTCCGTATTCGTTTAAATCTTATCTTCATAATGATAGTGGTAAGAGAAAAAAGAGCAGAGAGCTAATTAAGAAGGAAACCATTAAATTGGTGGAGTTTAAGCGTCATCAAGCTGAATTTGAAATTAAAGTGGTTTAAGCATTTTCAATAGCAGCAGATCGGAAGGGACACTATAATTATGTTGAAGTAACATCACTAGTGAAGCACAACACGTTTTTCGCTACATAGTTCAGATAAACCATTATTTTTACACAAAAAATTCAATAATTTTCGTCATTAAATAATAACAACCGGATGTGTACGGTTAGTTTGTTGCATGAAGAATCGTTTGGTCTAGTCAAACTTTTTATCTTGAAGCAGATTTTATTGAAGAACGCTGTGCTAAGTGTCAAAAAAAGAAGGGAATCAACTACGTACGAACGTCGGTTCATGACGAAAATGTTGAAACAACTTATAAAGATATATGATCAGCATATTAAGATTTTGGTTGATTGATTTGCTTTTGCGCTATGCTTTATTCGAATGCGCAGTCTATACTATGTTTCGGATCAGTATTAGCGTACAAAAATATCTTTCGGAGTCTTTTAGTATACATTAGAAAAAATATGTTCCGATATTGAAAAGTGGCAAGAAAACACGCTGTTTTGGCAAGTTTGATCAAAGAATAATCAGAAGTTCCTGAATGGACGGTACCTTGATCTCCTATACATGGGATGTCTTTGTAAGTCGATTGCACTATAGTGTAATCAATTCACTTTTTAGTCTAAATATAGAATTACCCGATGCTACTATGTCAATGAATAGATTTCAAAGAGACATTGTAGGCAGTGAGCGATCATGAATAAATATTTGTCTACGATTGTATCGCACATGAAAAACATTCTCTTTTCACTTCTTCATCATCACACGTGTCCTAGATAAAATTTTTTTCATAAAACTGATAAGATTCTTATGAGTTTCTTATATAAGACTGTTTAGGAGTTCCCATCGGTAGTCGTAAGTATCTAATAACAAGGAAGAAGGAAGAAGGAAGAATATCCCACTTTGCGGCTACCGTTACCGGTGTAGCGTGCTGCTAAATGGCAGTTTCAATAGCCCGATATTTTCCCTGCAGTTGACAAGCCTCTGAATTGATTATCCATCTCGTTACTAGTCATCAACCACAGCAAAAATAACAAAGATTTTCCAAAAACGCTTACAAGGATACAAAAAAATTACTGAATTGCCCCACATTACTCCATTCTTTAAAACTGTGTGTTTATTATATACTTGCTCTACTACAAAACAAAGTGGTGAATGAATAGAAAGCCGATTGGTCGTTGACTCGAGCAGTTTTTAAAAAAAATAAAATATCGATGAAAAATCGCAACTTCTTGTAAATAGTTGCCGGCTTTTACGAACATCGCGACTTGCTGTCGAGTTTTAAGCGTATCGCGAGATGTCATCAAAATTCAAGCGTCTTTCTTAGCATGAGTCGTATTTAAAAAAGAGAGTACAGCGGCTCGTGATAGAAAAATGCAAACTAATCTACAGAAGTGTTTTTTTGGCTTAAAACTTAACCGTTTGTAAGTGTAAATGCTACAGTCTTTGAATAGAATTTGTTTCTCTGATCTGAACGAGCAACAAATATGACAGATTAGTCTGTAGATTCTAAATATATTGACGAATGCTTCTTAATTGCACTTCACAGATTCCAAAGCTTATTAAGATTTTTCTGAGAATGCTATAAATGATTTAGTGATTAGAAATATCTTACATGTGATCTAATCCTTAAGACCTGATAAATTATTCAAAAAATTCCTACAATACGTGATTCTTGCAAACACATAAGAACTCTCTTATTCGACTCAAAAGATTTACTTGAATAAACTTAAATTTGTGAGAGTTGTCGCTTGTTTTTGTCATCAAATTTCAATAAAAAATGCACGTAAGAAACGAAACAAAATAAGTGCTAAAAATGTCCTCATTAATTGAGTTCGGTAAGTCATTTTACAAAAACACAAATCTATTTATTAACTGGCTAAACATTCTTAAATTTTTTAAATATTCTCTTTAGTGCCCATTCCAAGTCGTCGAGATCAACGTTAATTGGTCCCGCATAATTTCCAGTTCCTTTCACTAACCAATAAGTCAGATTTAAATGTGAGGCGATCTCAAAATACATTTCTGGTAATTTCATTCCACTTGAATATCCTATTTCAACGATATCTGTTCCATCTGGTTTGCACCACATCACATTAAAGAGACCAGCACCATGTGGAGCAATAACGAGACGAGCACGTTTAAATAATTCGATATGCTCTTTCAGATGGCCTTCAGCAGTAAATATTGAGATTTTAAATTGAGGTTGTGAGTGTTCTTCTAATAACTTTTCAATTAAATCAATTATTTTATCGTGATTATTAACACGTCTTGCTCGTTTTGTTCGTTTAATAACGACAATTAAATTCCGTTGTTCATCGGGTAACTCTCGTTCAACAATGACTCGATGTGTAAGTATCATATCTGTTCTATCGTGAAGATATTTTTCATATAAATAACATGGAAGATAAGGCCATGAATCTGTTTGATAAACTACTTTTGCATAGTAGATGTTAGTTGGATCATACTGAACAATATGTTCACGTTTAATAATTTGGCGTTCAATTAAAATATCGATAAATTGATCGGCAATTCCACCTTTGGCTACTAATAATTTAATCTTGTTTGATGTTAATGCTAATAGGCGAAGTAAGTGTGGTAATTGTTGCGGAGCAAAATGGCCCGGTGCATTTAAGTACATACCCAATGAGTTCAATAATTCATCATGGTATTCAACCTTCAAGTTTGGATGAGGTATTATTAAGGAATTATGACAGGTTTTAGTTGAATAGCGTTGAAAACGATATGTTGCTAATTTAGTATACACCGTTCCAACCACATCTTTATGACATAAACCATTATCAATAAATGCATTGAAGATAGCAATAGTGACGACATGAGTAGTGCCTAGAAATAGACAAAGATGACTAATAATCACTTTCTTTTAATAATATTCAATTATTCTTCTGTAAGTTTTATTTCTACCTTTCTCTACCTGGTAATCGATGAGATAATTCTGTTGAGTTAAACAGGCATGAATGCCAAGTATTGACTATATTTAATTCTTGACATGTGGATGAAAAATTTCTAGATAATGGCATTGGGTGTAATAATGGATTTTGTAATTGAACAAAATCTTCAACAATAAAACCTTGTTTTGGATAAGAACTCAAATACTGTTTAACATTATTAACAACAATAGGCTGTTGATCATCATCATCATCTTTATTTTCATTACTATTTTTTATTTCTAAATATTTCTCATAATCTCCATTTCTATACCACGTCCAATCAAATAGTTCTATCAAATTGAATTTTTGAACCCAGTCAGATATAAACGTTGCATTTGTGTTAAGAACACTCGATCTTGATTGGTAATATTTTTTATGATATATTTGAGATGGATAATATATACATGGATCAATGTCTGAAGTTGTTGTCACGTAAAGCAGAAGTATAATAAAAAAACAGGTGAAAAGAGTTAAAAACGTTCTACTGTTAAGACGTGCTCGACGAATTTTCCAGTAATAGGTCATAAATTAACAAAGTAGAATCTGCAACGCTAAAATAAAACAGAGAGAATACACACAAATAAATATGTTGCATTATAAATTTGGACGAAATACAATTATGTCAGCTCTAACTGAGAACTCTGTTAGAAATAACAATTTTCAATCGAAATATCAATTTTTAGAAAAATGGAGGGTGTTATGACTCAAAACCTTCTCTTTCAATTTTTTTGCTTTAAAAACATGTTTTCATGGATTTTTAGTAAGATTAACATCGACCATGAATATAAACTTTGTCTTGTATTAAAACACTTTTTTAATATATTGACTGCAGAAAGAGAAATGTTAAAAGCTCGCTTAGGGAGGATTTTAAAATTCTTGCCGTTCCCTCTTTGGCTCTGCCGCGGCACAACGGATTTATTTTAATGACCTTTCGATATATTATCAGTTTCTTTTGATCTATGTATACGAATACATAGAAGTTATTTTGATACAAAAATTTATTGAATTCGCTTTACGATTTTTCCATTAAAGAATAAAGC